AGGGCATCTTTGACGACAGACGACACGGGGGGCCTATGGCAACAATGTCAGTCATCAACGAAGTTATGATGATCGGGTTATCTGATATTTCGATTCGATACTTAGACCCAGATCGAGTTATTAATATATTTCGATTATAATCGAAAATTATACTTAGACCTGGTAATTATTCCAGTGACCATCTTCGATGAAGGGAAATGGGTCCACTAAATCGATCGTACTTTATTCTGCCTTTTTTCTGGAAGCCTTTCAATCGTGAGCAGAGAAAGAAAGGGAAAGTGTCGATTCGCATGAAAATCCTCTCCCCACTCAGTTTCCCGCGACGAGACAACTACAACCGCGATTAAGGACATCGCGACCCTTATGTAACGCCTCGATGCAGAAGAGTGAACATCAACAACCAAAATGAAGGGATATAAACAGATGACGCCACCACATCGGATCGTGCCGGTATCACTCCGTCGGAAGTAAACAAGCAAAGCTCGAGGCATCCGAATCTCTCGGAATCGAATGGACTCTTCCAAGCACCTGAAAAGTTTCCAGTCTAATAGAACTATTAAGCGAGGTGTGTGCAGAATCATGCAAGCGGGGATGCGTATCAAAAATCTGGAAGCGCACAGGAATAGTTATGCTTTCCGAAAAGAAGACAGGAACATCACCTAAAGATTTGAGACCCATCTCCATCACATTTGCAATGCCAAAACCACTGGAAAAATTGGCGGGAACTAACTCTCGGGGATCCAGCGAAACTGGGTTAAAATCACCATTTAAACGCCTGTAGGAGCGGGTCATCGACATCTTCGGCTGTTTTAAGACCGATTGACTTCGTTCAACGCTCAGTCGACAGATTGTGTAACCCAGTATTGACAAAAAACACTTTCGGCTGAATTTGTCGAATTCATGGATTTTGATCAGGAATTCGACCGGGGACGTGCCAACTTCCCATTGCGTGATGGAATGATCGGATTGGATGGATTTGCATATTCTCCAAAATCGGCATTCGGGAGAAGTTTCCTCCGACAAAGGAGAAAAATCGGAAAGGAAACGATTGCGATTTGAAGCGTCCGTAAACCGGTACAGAATATATTATAAATAAAATTTTAGCTTCTTCTTCTCGCGGTTCATGTAATTGACCACACAATTGACCACATTAACTCCAGTTTCAACTTAGTCAACACTGAAAAATAATTAAATGAAAGTATCGCAGCCGTCTAATAAGATCGCAAATAATACGAACTCGTTTGAGCAAATATATATTATCATAAGCGATAGCAACATATGTTGTCACGAGACTGGCATGAGATTATTCAGATCTCACGAAGACATTTCAAGGACACGATGGATTATCCTTGGCTGCCATATATTTTCCCGACCAGGTAAAGGATGGTTGCATATCTGCGACGACTTAGCGTATACGAGCGGATTAGCATGGAAGCATATATAATGAGAGGGAATCGCATGCACGCCGACTTGCTCCGCGGCTCCCGCGTCTTCGACGTCGTTCGTGCGGTGATGTGGGTGGGGAGACGAGATGTCTGAGGCTGTGCGATTGCGATCCGGTGACGTTTTGGGTTGTCGGCCGAATTAATGAGAGAGACGTGGCGGTGGTTTGAGGAGCCACGTTCGTAATCGTGGGTTTATTGCTTTGACCTGAGGGTGACGTTGGCCTTTTGGGAGGTGACCTCGAGTGACGAGAGACAAGACGACGAAGAAAGGCTTCGTTAGTGGCGACGTGATTGGGAATATGAATACTCGGTTGGTGAAATTTGAGTCTCGGGATGCGAAGAAGATGACGCGAGAAGACTTCTAGAACTCTACTATACACACGCCAACAAAAAATCGATAATGGCCTTTGCTGGAGCAAGAAGAGAAATCCCCCTCGTAGCTCTGCTATCGGCGACAAATGAATCCAGACGAGAATCTCTCAGCAGATCGCCGAGTGGAAGTGGCAGACGACGCCTCGGTATCCTCAAGGAATGATGCAATTATTGGAAAGAACGGACGGTGCCGTAACCAGAGTAGAACGGCGGGAAGTCGGAAAGAACCGGAAGAGCAAAGAAGCCGAGAAGCAGAGGGACGTCCCCATCCATTGCATGAAGCAGAGGGATGTCCCCATCCATTGCATGAAGCAGAGGGATGTCCCCACCCATTTCATGAAGCAGAGGGATGTCCCCACCCATTGCATGAAGCAGAGGGATGTCCCCACCCATTGCCCTCCGATTTTGAGACGGACCGAGTCCAGGCGGCTCCCCCGTCCGAACGGGCGGTCGAGAATCGGTCGGGCGCAAGCAGTTCCTGGAACCCGGCCGGCCGAGTGGCAGAAACGAAAGGCTCGACGGCCCCTCGGTCGACCGAGCAAGCCCATTTTGGACACGAAACATTTTTCATTCCTCGCCGGATCCGACACGAAATCTTTGCAGGTCGCGTGACCGTCTCGGACTCTGGTTCGGCTCTCCCTCTTCCGAGCAAAGTTTTATATTTTGATGGCCTCGTAAAGGGGCCGTGCATGCGTTTCATTTATACGAGGAAATCGAGGGATGGGGACGATATCGATATCGACAAATAACTTCAGAAATTCCGCATTTCGCTCCGAATCCATTTTGCAACCGAACGCCTTCGGCATCGTTTCTGCGTTTCCTGGCTTCGAAGTCGTTTCGCACGTGGAGTTTCTCGCTCGTGACGCGTGCGATTTCGCGATGACCGCGACATGCGCGTCTGCACCCGTCCATTTTCGTTCGAGCGAACTCGCGAATGCGCAGGTCGACGCAAAGAGGAAACGCAAAGCTCTCGAGAATCGGACGGAATCGTTTTTCGTTCATTAGCTTTGCGTTTTCCCTTGGCGCATGCGTGTGGACTCGTGAGGACTCGCTCGAGATCCCTTCCAACGCAAACGAGCACGTGCATAAAAGCATGCATAAAAGCACGCAAGACACTCAGGAAACTCAGAACGTGAAATGACCCCAGGAAAAGCAGGAAGACCGAGTTTCCATCGGTTTCCGTGAGGCGGCGAAGATAGAGTTGGCTTATTGCTTCGATCCCCTCAGTTCCATCCGAGCTATGTATATTGCCCTGCAAATGAAAAATACATGAGATAAGATGTCATGAAGCTAATACATGAGATAAGGTGTTATGAAGGTAATATTTTAAGGTGGATCAAAGCACAAAAAAAGGAATCATGTCCTTGAGTGCATAATGCAGGAAATCCTCCCGATGCAAAATAACGTCACCGAGCTACTTCACGCGAGCCTTCGTTACATCGAGCCTTCTTTACATCGAGCCCTCGTTACGTCGAGCCTTCGTTACGTCGAGCTGCTCTCGCGACGAGCTCGGAGCATTCCGTGACTCGTCTCTCGAAATTCGGCGGACAGACGATATGCCGATTGGGAACGGGATTTCCAGCCGAGATTTAATTTGGAATCTAATGAGAGGATGCAATGGAAAACGGACACGAATCTCGTGGTTTGCGTGATTTCTCTTGCAACTACATTTCTCGTGGTGGGGTAAAACTGCCTAAATTCGGGCAGTCTTACGCTTATTGTTAATTATTACGCATTCGCGAGATCGACCTCAGAGGGAGTTCTTCTTATCCCAAGATGACCGTGTGAAGAAGCGAAAGACTTGCGGTGGCCACGATCTTTGAGCGCGATTTCCAAATATCGGGCCGAAAGGAATGCGATGTCGCGGACGGTGCAAATTCAAGGAAACGCACGGAGACGAACTCGCTCGAGAAACGCTTCCATCGTGGAATTCTTAATTCTGTGATCGGTTTTCATTCCACGGGAAACTAAGGAACGTAGAGCACTGCTGCAAGGGAGCCGAGAGCCGATTTCCGCCTTACTTCTGGCGTGTCCAAACGACTTTCGGTTCCAACTTCATTTTTTCGCATCTAAGTTCGGACACTCACGCAATAGGAATTATCGGAAGCCATGAGGCGTCGACGGTCGTCGTCTTTATCACACTCGTACCAACTCGAACTGTGCTGCCGACTGAAAAAAAAAAACGTATCTGGGTTAAATCATTAAGGCGCGATTTACGATCCTATCCCGGCTTAACTGTCCGAACATAAGTGGTTTTACCCTAGCTAATGAAGTGAATGAAGATTCGTGGTGGAATGGGTGAATTTCGATTGAATACCTTGTGGGTTCGACGGAAACCGAGGGGAATGTCGTCTATGAGGATCCGTCTCTCACCACTCCTGCTGCCATTCTTTAATAAAGCATTACAAAAAAAGAAGAAAAACAGAGGTGATGCCTCGTACATCCACGCCTGAAACAGAAAAAAATCGGGCGGAATCCTGAGCCCTTCCAAAGGCGAAGGCCAGGGCTTTCTTCCTTTTCGAGGAGAAACGAGACGAAGCAGTGTGAGGCGAGGAATCCTTTTTTTAAGTACTATTTTACCGGAATACGAGTTAGACTCACGGCGGAGAGATGCAGCGTTGAACTTGAAATACATGGCCAGAGGATTCTGAATTCGATTACGAAGAGGTGGGACCAAGGCCAATACAGGCAGGCGTTGTTCGACTGTGAAGTCCTTCGTTAATTATTCGAAACGAATTAACTTTTTTTATCATTCTATCTTTATTAAATGTTTAACTTTTCGATCGTTTTCCCTCCAAGATTCACCCACGATGCAAATAGGTTCGCCACATATCCAAAGCTGTACACAGAAAAGATAAACACAGAAACTAATCAGAAATTAAATAATAACAGCGAATAATGAACAGGAAAATCCTTTTCATTTTACCGGCTGTCCCTCAGAGACTCAAGCGGAAACATGCAATTATCAGCATCCATGCACGCAATAAAAGTGTCTGTGGAATATGTCGGGCCGGCGGACTGCCTCCAATGAATCATCTCTTTCGCTATTCCGCCTCCGATATGATAGAAGCTTAGCGAACTGTCGCGGATGTGCGTACATGCATCCACGTCGCCCGACAGATATCAAGCTATGCAATGAAGGGAGGAGGATGACAAACGATTCAAGGACGATAATGAGGAAAAATGCATGGTTTTAATCCGACCGGGATGTTTATTGTTGGGTTAGGAGGAGATAAGTTGGAGGCCTTAAATACCCCGGCGCTCAGAGGAATTTCTCGCACTTCATCCTCTGCTCCTGAGTTCCCTGCTGCGGTACATTCAGTTTTCCGTCCAAGGGAAAGGTGAGTCCATCTTCTATATATGCTATATTATTTGAATATACCCTTGTATCAGAAAAACATGTGGATGAGGTTTTCCATCCCACGATTCGAATAATGGAGGTTGGCTTTTTTGGAATTTCCTCAAAGTTATACCAAGAAGTTGTAATTACTTGTCGACTTGTCATTACTCGTCGGCATGGGCGAGGCAATTACGACGTGTGAGGTTACGTCTGATTTGTCAGATCTCTGACAATCAACCTTCTAGGAGTTAAAGGAGTTAATGTAGTAAGAAATGCTTTATGTTCTTAGGATGTAACACACACTTACATATTAGACAGTGTATCTGCATGTCTGCATCTGGAATAATTTTGGCAGGCACCAGTGCTTCGCCTTGCTCTAATAGGACACTTTCAGAGATACGGACATTGCCTTCGATCTGAAGGAAGTAAAACGTACATACATGTACCTATATAAGGCACAAATTGCAGGACCCATCGAAATGAAATGCACTACTTCTGGACTACCTTACTTCAGGGAAATTGTCTTGTGGGGGAGTGACTGAAATAGTAATGCGAGAACACATAGGTAAAAACATATAGCATTCGACTACGAAGGATCGGTGGATATGCTCCGGTGGCAATTGCGACATTAGTCCTGGTGACACCCCGTCTCAGGGACGGAATTAGAATAGTTAGAGAAAGAACTAAAAACAGAAAATCTAAAGGGTTTGGGTCTCCCTCTACAGCAAAGACAACTGAAGCGATTGTAGCGGTGTCCCCAATGGATTTTGATAGAGCGACATTTATGATCTGTTCAGAACTCACATGATGAAAGTATACCTTATAGAGTACGGGAAACTACCATACTCCTCGAACTTTAGTTCAATTAAATTAACATGGAAAGAGGATGAAAATATTTTAAAGTGGAGTTATTGGCAACACTACATTCTCGTGTTGGGAGCTGGAAATGTTTCACAACATTAAAGTTCGGTGGCAGGGAGCCCATGGATGTGGACTTTTCCTTTCATTTGACTTCTTTTCCTCTCAGACCATTGAATCTTTTTCTCATTGCAGTCAAGATGCGATTTTTGGTGGCACTAGTATGCTTGGCGACATTCGCCCTCTCAGCAAATGCGTCGGCAATTCACAGAGATCTCGTCCGCGCCGGATTCCTCAATGACAAAGCCCGTAGTTGCGAGTGCGGCTGCGAGGTCCTTGATGATGAATGCAAGAAACCCGACTGCGGTGAAGGAACTTACTTCCAACACCCCGAAGATTGCGGCAGCTTTTGCCAATGTTCCAATGGCAAGGCATACTACTTCGCCTGTCCCGACGGGCTCATGTTCAACACTGAACTGAACGTCTGCGACTGGCCTGAAAACGTTTGCTGCGATGCGCCAGTAAACCCCAACGTCTGCGAGGAGCATGGATGCAATGAAGGATGCGAAACTACCACTCCTCCGTGCACCACCACCACCACTCCTTGCACTACCACCACTACTCCATGCCCCACCACCACCACCACCTGCCCAACCACCACCACCACCTGCCCAACGACAACCACCACCTGCCCAACGACAACCACTACATGCCCAACCACCACAACCACCTGCCCAACCACCACTACCACCTGCCCAACGACAACCACTACATGCCCAACCACCACAACCACCTGCCCAACCACCACCACCACTCCTTGCACTACCACCACTACTCCGTGCACCACCACCACTACTCCGTGCACCACCACCACCACTCCGTGCACCACCACAACCACTCCTTGCACTACTACCACTACTCCGTGCACCACCACCACCACTCCGTGCACCACCACCACCACTCCTTGCACTACCACCACTACTCCGTGCACCACCACCACCACTCCTTGCACTACCACCACTACTCCGTGCACCACCACCACCACTCCTTGCACTACTACCACTACTCCGTGCACCACCACCACCACTCCCTGCCCAACCACCACTACCACTTGCACTCCTACCACTTGCTCTACTACGCCATCTTGTGATCCCACGACTGAGCCGCCATGTGGCTCTGACATCTGTGCCAATCAACCCGACGGAGCTTTCCTTGAAAACCCGGAAGACTGTGGAGGCTACATTCATTGCTCCCACGGGGAGGCGAATTACATGGTATGTATTTGTATGCATCTACTCTCTCACAGTCTCCTAGAGCCACACATTATAGCTATCGATTCTTTTTCTCCCTAGGACTGCGGACCAGGGACTCTTTGGGACCAGGACCTTCTCACCTGCAATCACGCCGATCAAGTAGATTGCGGCGATCGCCCTCAACGCAGCGAGTCGAAGTTGGATGATGTCGAAGAGAGGTTGTGAAACACGAAATGATGAAAACGGAGTTATGTCCAACTGAGAACAGAATTAAATAATAGTTTTCGAACCCCTTCTGTCTTTTACTTGCAATTCGAAATCCAGGCTTGTTTCCTGACGAATTTCTATATGCTGATCATTTCTTCCTTACAACACGAGGATTCGGCAATGACTGCGTCCGGAGAAATTGCTCGAAAACTTAAATATCCCTGGAATTCATCAGATCTGTCCAATGTGGCATATGTGACAATTTTGTAAGAGATGCAATGTAGATTCGCGAGTGGCGAAAGGGATCCCTGGCAATCACATCTGAAGCACACTTCCAATGCAGGAAACTAACCATATGTTTCATGGAAGAAATCACCAGGGGTTATAATCATTCTCGAGAGTAAAATGAGTGAACCACTTTGAGCCACTCAAAGAAAGATAATACTCCCTTCAGTATTCAGCCAGGCCGATACTCGACGGCATGAAGGTAGAAGGGTGGCAGAAGGGTGTTGTGGATATGCAGAGATCTTCCTTGGGTTTCCTTCATCAGCCCGACGTGGGTCTGCTGCCTTGGAAAGAACCAATAGAATCTAGACGGAGAGGCATAGATGCGGAAGTCGAGATTCTCTTCGTCGAGCAATCATAAACGTGAAGGCATTTCAATCATTTGGGGGCAAGAGCTGATTATATTAATGCTCTTTCCCTATTATTCCCACGTTTGATCTGAACCGCTGCGTCGACGAAGTATGATTTCTCATCGCGAATGAATGCAGGGACGCTTTACCGACGTTAACCAATCAAAAAGGCTTGGGGAGTAAGTTTCCATCGGTCACTTCCATTGTAACCTATGGGAAAGTGGCAAATATTGCGGTCGATTTGTCATTTTTCCCATTCCATCTGTCCACAGTCCGTGGAAATGGCGGGAAAAATCCATCAGATAGAAAGTTCAGTCCGACACAGAATTATCAGTGCATCATATTGTCCTCCGTGTTAATTCGCTTCAACTGCAACAAAATTCTTGGAAGGGGCAAAAGGCCCAATTTGCCCCCACGTACGAAAGGTACTTTTGCTCTAACTTTCTTCCCTTTCTTCCCTTTCTCTGTCCATCCTTTCCTCTCTTTAGATTCATACCCGACTGTTGGAGCTGATCCAATTTTTTTTTTTAATTCCCTTTCCTCCTCCCACCCACTCAACTTTTGAGATACTGTATCTACAGTATGTGGCTGAAGTGCATCACGTTAAGCAGGGGTGTCAAACTGAAATCGGTCGGCGGGCCGCATTCCTTACCCTGCAGATGCTTGGGGGCCACACCCATAATTTTCCCCCGAAATTTTTGTTAACAGTCAATCCAAGCGGAAATTTTTTAAGAACAGACGGCGGGCCGTATGTTTGATACCACTGACAGAAAGGAAATTTTGATGCCACGAAAATCCTCAGTGAAGAGTCGAACCGAACTGGATCCAAAGCCTGGATTATTGGATGGTCCCGCACGGAACCTTGTATTCTGCCTAGCTTGCGAGACTGCGAAAGTTTCTGGAAACGTGACCTTCACTCTGGGGAAAATATTCACTTGAAGAAGAAATAGAATACGATTCTACAGTATCTTCCATCAACGACAGTACCACGTCGGTTGTGTGCGGGAAAGCTTAGACCAACATCGTGGTGGACTGACCGTGCATGCCCCACAATTGGTGCTAGTGCGGCAGTCGACAGCAAGGCCATAGAGCCTAGATAAACAAGGTCTGGACAGCTTTTGTATGTGGGGATGCCGCCAATTGTGGCTTCCTATTGGCTGATCGCCATCACGTGATACCATACCAGCCATATTGGTTCACGACTGAGTGTGGGTGCTCACACGTCTTTAGGAATTCAAGTCTCTGTGTGCGCTGCAATTTTTTCTACCACGGTGAGGTGGTGTGCAGTTGAATGTACCAACACGTCAACGGAAAGGCACTGGATGCTTAGATTCCCCTCAAACCCCGAGAGACGTGAATTATGGAGGGCCAAAGTCAGTCGGAAGAACTGGGAACTAAGGAGACAGGTCTAGGTTGCGTGAGGTGAGAGTAATATGCTAGGGCGCAGAAGTTCTGGACTGGGTAAGATAGTTTTCATGTGTCCTCTCATGATTTAATGAATAGAGTGTGGCAATCTTCTTTTCAGGTCAGGTTGAAAATGATTAAGTAATTCCAATTCAGGGGAAGAGGCACTGGAAAATTTTGCTTTGAAAAGCATAAATTCTTCTATGCTTCTGTTGTATTCTATCTTTTTTATTATAAATTTTTCCGAGGAGAATGAAACCAACCAAGGTCGGCCTTAGGTATGTGCCCCCTCACGGGACGCAAATTCACCATGGATGCCAAAACTTGAACAGAATGAACGAAGCGATACTGGATGCCAACCTCAATTTTACTTCAGAAAGTGGAAATGCCTTCCGTTTCAGTGTCTTCGAACGCTAGGGTTGACCCCTCTTCCTCTCAGAGGAGTAGTGAGAGGAAGGAGGGTCTCTTTGCATAGGGTGCCGAAATAGCCAGAGCCGGCACTGAATGCAACAAAATGTCTTGTGTTTCTGTGCCCCTTATGAAATGTTTACGTCATGGTGAGTCTTTCTGCAATTAGGATTTGCTATACCAATCTGAGGAATTCATAACGAGCAGGCATAAATTAAACCATCACTCTTTCGTGTCATTCTCAGGCCTAGCCAAGCTTGCTCTGCCAGTCTACTGCATTTCTAGTTGCAGCAAGAAGGTCCAGGTAGAGGCTTAGTGCACGGGAAACGCGTATACTTAGTATTCCGCACAAATTATTTGGAAATAGCCGTTTCGGAAGCGAGAAGGAATGGAGAGATCTGAACCAATATGGCGCCTGAGTGATAACCTGTCCAGATCTTGTGTATTTAGGACCTTGGTCGACATTCAGTTGGCAAGCCACCTAGCTAAGTTCCTCGAAGAAATAAAGTTCCCACCATTGACACGAGATGGTGATTAGATACCTAATTCAATGATAGCGACTCGCTGTGTGTCCCCAGTACCTTTCATGGGGTACCTGATCCTTTCCCACTGACAACTAGACGAAAAAAAACTCAAATTCCTAATTTCTCAATTTCTAAATGGGTGAAAGAGCTCAAAGAGACTCCTCGCAATTCAAGAGGGATTGTTTAACCCTAAAGCGTCTCGTGGTGGATACCACACCATTCCAAGAAAAAAAGTTCGCACTCTTCCCGAGCTTGTATGGATATTGCCATCTTTATCCTCATTCATTGCTCGAAATATTGAGAACCGATCACGACGATTTTCTTACAGTTGGAAGGTCTCTTAGTTCCCCTTGATTTCGGATATAATACGAGGGGCAGTCAAATGAAACGTAGCGGATGAAAATTTCAGACATTGAAATCAACTTACATGTTAATAATCACCATGGTTGGCAAGGCACTTCTTCCATTGT